GGCAAGGGATCCTTTTAAGTTTCTTTCAAACGAAACATATATACAGATATAGATATGTAACTATATAGACTATAGGCAGCCCGGGAGACTGCGGTTTCCTGGACAAAGCCGGGAGACTACGGTCTCCTTATAATTGTGGTGGACCACGGTTTGCCATCTGTCTGTGAGAGGAGACCACGGTCTCCTGCAGAGCTGGCTAGCAGACTACGGTTTGCTTAGTCAGTGATGCATGCATGGGTTGCTTTTCGGCAACCGTGCTGGCCGGCAGAATGCAGGCAGACCAAGGTTTGTTTGCATCTGCTGGCAAGCATGCAAAGCAAGCAGACCACGGTTTGCTTTGCTTTGGGAGAGGAGACCACGGTTTCCTCGTGGGTGCATGCCACGGCATGCACCAAATACTATATATATATATATATATATATATATACATGTGCTAAAAAGAGTCTGGCTTAAGGGATCTTCCCTAAACCCTATACCCTCCCCGATCCTCTATAAACCCTTTTTTTGTCCTGGCCAGGCGAAGTCGTCGGCCATGCCCAAGCACCGGGACCAGGATAGAAGGAGGAGGAGCTCGAGCTCAGAGGATAGAGAAGAACGACGAGATCCTCGACTACGGTCGAGATCTCACGAAGAGTCCGAGGACCAAAAGAAAAAGGAGGAGGATGGCAACAAAAAGCCAGAGGAGAACGAGAACAAGAAAGAGGAGGAGGAGAACTTTGAGGAGGAAACTGTGGCCTCCGAGGAGGCAACTGAGTCCGAGGACAAAGAAAAGGATCCGGAGGAGGAGCCGGAGGAGGCTACGGCCTCGAAGCCAAAGGAGGCGGCCTCGGAGGCTGCGGCCTCGAAGCCCAGAGTCCCTTCTCTGGATGAGAAGACTGCTGATTGGCCGATAAGTGCCGCCGGCAGGCAGAGGCTGGAGAGAAAGCTTGCAACAGCCAGGGTCGCGGCATCCCAGGCAGCTCTCCAGTCCTGGGCAGAAGAAGAGCAGGCCAGAAAGGAAAAGAAGGATAAAAAAAAGGGAAAGAAGGATAAAAAAGAGAAGGAGAAGGATGAAAAGAAAAGCGAACGAGAGAGATCAGAGAAAAAGGACAAGGAGGTGGATGAAAAATTGAAGGGGGCAAATGAGAAGGCAGCAGATGAGAAGAAGGACAACAAGCCTTCGGACGGGCCCAAGGGCCCGTCCAAAAAGTGCCCCATTTGCTGGAGGTGGATACAGGAGCATGCGGCCGCCCGTCGCCAGCACCGATTGTCGGTGTTTCACCGAACTTGGAAATACATAGCCCAAGGGCTCAGCAAGGAGGCTGCTGCAGGCCGGGCAAAGCGCCGGTTCCAGGAGCACTGGCAGCCCGGGAGGGAAGAGGAGAGCGAAGAGGAATCCGAAGTCCCAAAGTGGGAGCTGCGGCGGGATTCCGGCAACAAGGGCCATGGATATGGCGACAAGGGCCAGGGATATGGCGACAAGGGCCAGGGATATGGCTATGGTGATGTGAGAGGCGGCTCCGGCCCCTCGGGGGCCAAGGCCCATACCGAAGCTGAGAAGGGCCGTCCTGAGCAGGCTAAGGGCACGAAGAAGAGAAAAAAGCCGGGGGCAGGAGAGACAATCTCCCTGATTGAGCCCGAGGATGACAAAGAGGATCGAAAGCCGGTGAAGCTTTTGCCCAGGAGTTTGCCAGCTAAGGCTGGCAAGACCGGCTAAGGGCAGCAAGGCTAAGGCCAAACGTAAGCGACAGGAGTCGCCGGTACGGGACGATGATCACGTCCCAATGCCGGACAAGAAGGACCCGGACGATCCGGAAGGAGGGTCTGGGAGCTCCTACGGGAAAGTGGTGACGAGCCTTTTCCAAATCGCCTGCCAGGAGCTTCGGCAGCGGTACTAGCTCGGCAGCCGCCTGCCGTCTTCCGAAAAACCAGAGTGCCGGCTGCCGTCTGGTGAAAAAAAGAGTGTCTCCGCGCTTTTTTCTCTTCTAGGGTTTAGGGTTTAGGGGTTTTTTTTTTAAGAATAATTTTCGGTTATCCTTAAGATTGGAACCTTATTCAAACGTAGAAAATATGATATAGTTTTTTCTATATCATATATATTGAAAGGAAACCATATGATATAGCATATTCTATATCATATGATGGCATCGCTTGCCATATGATATAGTTTCTACTATATCATATGAGTCTGTGGGGCCAGATATCATATGATATAGTTTTTTTCTATATCATATGTAATATTTTGGCCTCATATGATATAGTTTCTACTATATCATATGATTGACTTTGTTTTCATATGATATAGTTTTTTCCATATCATATTTTGAGGGTTTTGTGGGCCTGCCGAAATGTGTTCTCTGAGCAGCGGAAAGCAGGGCCCAAGCAGCCGTGCAGCATGCATACAGATGCCCAGAGTCGAGCACAGACAAGGTTTGGTGCAGTTGTGTTCGCAGACAGGCACCCCTTCCTGGGGCCATTTGTTGTGTCACCCGTCCTGTAGCTTGGTTTGTTGTTGCCATGGAGACCCAGCATCCAAGGATGCGAGAAGCCTCCACGGAGGCGTGTGGAAGCCTCCACGGAGGCGTGTGGGAGCCTCCACGGAGGCGTGTGGAAGCCTCCACGGAGGCGTGTATGTGGCTGCTTGCTGCTGCAGGCACAGGGAGAAGAAGGAACTCTCCACGGAGATGTTCCGGCATTTGCTGTTGGTGCGGTGCCGTGGTGATATAGGGCCATGGCCTCCAGCAGCACCGATGCTTTTGCTGAAAGACCAGCGAAGCTTCAGAAGGTGAATGCTCTGAGAAGGAAATTGCCCCATCTCACAGCCTCGGCTTTGTCCGAAGTTTGCAAAGTTCTGCGGGACGAGGGTGTCCCGGAACTCACACAAAGAAAACATATAGCCGAGGCTGCCTGGCAACCCCTGAAAGAGAATAGGATCCTCAATCGTCTGTCACTTTTGCAGACAGATGGTGCAGAGCTGCAGATACCCAGTGTCGATTTTTGGGCTCTGCTGCAAGCTGCTATCTCGGATGCCGACAGCAACTTCGCCCAATATTTTTGGGCGTGCATCGACAAGAATCCTCCGAGCCCCAGCTCGGCATGGCGGCTGATCCTCTATACGGACGAGATCGTGCCGGGTAATCCTTTGGCAGTCCAGACGAAGAGAAAAATCTGGGCTTGCTATGCCTCGTTCGTAGAACTTGGAAGCTATGCATTGCAGCACGAGGAGTCGTGGCTATGCATAGGACTGCTCCGATCCAGCCTGATGGCCAAGGCCGAAGCAGGTGTCTCTCAATGGATCTCGAAAATCCTGCGAGACATATTCATGCGGCCGGCCAACCATTTGGAGCACGGGTGCATATCGTTGCAGCGACCAGGAGGTCCGCCCGTCCTCTTCCGGGTGGTTTTGTCAATGATCGTTCAAGACGGTGGTGCCCATAAAGCTCTATGGAGCTGCAAGGGGGATGCTGGCACCCGCATGTGCATGCTGTGCAGGAATGTAATAGCACAACGATGTGATATCCTGCACAGCAGCGGGCTCCCCGTGGTCGGTTTCTCTGAGATCCGAGAAAGTAAGCTTTCGCTTGCGACCGACCAATCCATCCACGAGGCCATGGCTAAACTGGCAGAGAAGAAGATGCTTCTGAATGCTGCAGATTTCAGCACGTGGCAGCAAGCCACCGGCTGGACTTATAATAGTTGTTCCCTGCTGCAACAAGAGGATCAACGATGGCTGGTCCGGCCGGTCTCACAGTATTGCCACGACAGCATGCACACCCTGCTGGTCTCCGGTGTCTTCCAGACAGTGACCTGGCTTGTTTTGGAAGCTTTGCAGAAGCAGTTTCCCAATCTCTGGGAAATCGCCGACGAGTACGTGGCCAAGTGGACCCTGCCCCGGAACATCTCGGCCAAGGCCGAAGGGATGCTGGGTCAGTCCCGAGCAAAAGCATGCAAGGAAGCCGAGACCTTTAAATGCACGGCCTCCGAAGGCTTGACACTGTCTCCAATATTGGCTTGTTTCTTCAGGCAGCTCGCCAGGGCAAATGCAAATGTTGAGGCAGTGCAAGCGATCCAATGTTTCTTGCAGCTGGACAAACTCGTGGCATGCTGCCAGAGAGCTCGCAGTGAGGGAGCGGTTTCGCCCGGCCAGATGAGAAAGCACGTTTCCGATTTCTTGCAAGCAGTGCATGCTGCTGAGTGGCAGGACCGCATGCATTCCAAGTTCCATTGGCTTCTCCACTTCGGTTCGCACCTGGAAAAGTGGGGTTTCATGGTTCAGTGCTACACTCACGAAAGAAAGCATCGCACTATCAAGAGATTCGCCGAGGACATCAAGAAGACTTCTGCTTACGAGCAGGGTCTTCTCCGAGAAGTTCTTGGACAAGAACTATATTGCTTGGCAAGAGCTGATTGTTTCGCAGCGATGCTGCAGTTGCAGGACCCGAAGCCAGCTTCTCGGAGGAAGGCGGCAGCACTTCGCAAAATCATTCCGGAGCTGACCTCGGCACAAGTGATTCATGTGGCAGAAAAAGTCAGGCTGCCCTCCGGGGAACGGATATGTCGTGGCGATGCGGTGCTGCTTGAAGGGAACGGTTGCTTGGAGTGTGCCCTTGTCTGGGCATTCGTGGAACTGGCAGGGCAAGCCTACAGTGTTGTGCATTCCATTTCTTCTCTGCTTTGCGATGACCTCGTGGGGGAGTGCTCCTGCATAGACAGCCTGCATCTGCTGCCATGCAGAGACTTTCTGTGTGCATGCACATGGAGAGACATGGCCGGAGGCCGACGACAAATCATCCTGCCTGCTTCCCTCCGATGAAAAAGATTGATCCTGCATGCATCCTGGATTTTGGGAATCTGCACGTACACACACATGCAGGCGACCTGTACCATGCTCTTTTTCCATGGATGTGCATGCAGCTGCCATTTTGGCTCCTGTAGTGGGGTTGTAGCATCTTGGCTCCTATAGAGGGGGCTTCTGGATTCTCCTTTTCTGGCCACGGCTATATATATCTCGCCACGGCGAGATGGCCCGAGAGTTGCAGGCCGAGTTAAGCCCTATGGCCGAGTGGGCACAAAGTGGGAGCAAGGCTTCGGTCGATGCTTTGATGAACAGCTGGTGCACCCGGCTGGAGAGCCTTGGCTCTCTGTCGTTAGGGCAAGCCATGCAGATGAAGCAGACGATCCAGGATCTGAGCTTCGAGAGCACCCTGTCAGAACGGTTGCTTGAAAAAGTTGAAGCCAAAGTTCTGGCAACGGCCACGGCTGCAACACCGCCGCCAGATACTACATATACGCCTCACAAGCGAAAGGAGGAAAGCAAGCCGCAGACCTTGCTGAAGCCGGAAAACTTCATCACGGTCACTGAGTGGTCTATGCTGGAAAAGTCGCCAGCACCGGCAAGGCTGGAAATCCTTCTGAAAAGGTATCTGCAGCTGGGCCTGAGGAACCTCACAGAACAGACGGTCAAGAAAGGCCTGGCCTTCCTCTTGGCACTGGCAGCCGGCAAGCTCAGTCAGATGCCGACATATGAAGAGATCTACGAAGAGGTCCAGGTCTTCAAGAGATCTTGGGAATCCGTGAAAACGGATGCAGAGCCGACTGAGGTCGGCCTGCTCACGTATCCCGATGACCCCAGCAGCTTGCCGAAGGCTCTGTTCGACCGAGCCTACAAGGCTGAGGACCCGCCCATGGGCAAAGACGTGAGGGCTGCGATCTGGCTAGCTCACATTCCGATGCGATCTACTTCCAAGCTCTTGCAGAAGAACAAGAAGCAGAGGCTGCCGAGGCCAGATGGCCAGGCCGCCGTGTCTGAGCAGCATGCGAACGAGTTCCAGAGCCGCATGGAGCAGTGCTTCGGGCGACTGGAAAGAATGCTGGACCAGGGCTGCGGTCAGAATGCCATCCAGGATGGTGGGCGAAGGGAGCTGCAGCTTGCTGCAGGCGCAAGTATCTTGCAAAGGAGGACTGCATGCTTATCACTCACAGGACCGGCAGAAAATTTCAATCAAATGGAATATCTTCAATAAAAGAATCTTCAATCAAATATCTTCCACGCAGATCGCTCTCTCTTTTTCCATGTGGGGATGACGAAGTCTCCGTCCTTGTGAGTCATTCCAAGATCTTTGTCCCGACAGATCGGGTCACTGAAAGCGGAGAGAACTTTCCCCCCCGCTCAGAGGTTCAGCCTTAGAGGTTACAGCCTGACAGGGTGACGAAGCTTCGGCTGTGCGCTCTCTGAGAAGTGGACTAATTGCCAGGAGAGGTTTCTGGTTCCTCCTCTTCGTACTCGCTGCTGTCAGTGAAGCCTGTTGGTTGAAACCAACGCCTGAACAGCGCTCGGAAGACCTTGGCAGTCGCGCTGAGGCGACGTTGTCTTCTGGTCCTCAGGTACAAGCTGACGGTGCACCAGATCTCTGGAATTTGTAAGACTCGCATGACTGAAGAAAAAGGTGCGGGTGGGCGGGCTTTCGAAATTTTCTGCCCGGCTCCGACTTGAGCAACGTTCACATGCAGGCACATCACACATGCTCAATGCAGCAAAACGTTTCTGCCTAAACAAACACGTTCCTTGTTTGTTTTCCATGATCGTGATAAAACACTAACTCGTCCCTCGCACGTAAGCTTATCACTCACAGGACCGGCAGAAAATTTCAATCAAATGGAATATCTTCAATAAAAGAATCTTCAATCAAATATCTTCCACGCAGATCGCTCTCTCTTTTTCCATGTGGGGATGACGAAGTCTCCGTCCTTGTGAGTCATTCCAAGATCTTTGTCCCGACAGATCGGGTCACTGAAAGCGGAGAGAACTTTCCCCATCTTTTATAAGATCGACGCTTACCGTGGACCGTACTGCGTCGGGAAAGTCTGGGAGAGCCTCGATCCTAACTCTCGAGGGTTCATCCGCGATGTTCGATTTTGACGGGACTCTCGCGATCCAGGGTACAGTCCCCGTCTTGAGCTCATATGCGGCTTGATGCTTCAGCAAGTCGTTTGCGACTCTGTTAGCGCTTGCTCCAGTCATAAGGCAGGCTTTGGCGCCTTCATTATCACAGTAGCATACGACTCTCATTCCTCTGAGGGCCTCGCCCCAAGCCTTGAACGCCAAGCAGACTGCAGCCAACTCGAGCAAGAAGATGCACTTAGACTCTAGGTCTATTCCCACCTCAGCAAGCTCAGCTGAGCTAGGGAAGTACGAGAAGAACCTCAGGGGCTCTCCAGTGGGTCCGCACAGGACTCCGCCTATTCCCGCGACGTTTCCTTCCTTAGTCGGTTCCAGGGACGCGTCAGTGTATATAAAGACGCAGGGCCTCTGACCCAGGAGAATCGTCCTCGCTGGGGCGAACTGAGCGATGTCAATGTACATCCGAAGTGCTGCGGAGATGCTTCCGTCAATTGCGGTAGAGTTCCGTTCCAAAACGGAGTAGAATACTTTAAGACAGGACTTCGGGAGTCGACCGAAGATTTGCCCTCCGGCGAAACTCATTCGCCCCGCCATGTGCCTGGCCTCGGATCTCGATATTCTTCCCCTGTCGAGAATGTTTGAGAGCTCGCTCACGAGCTCACTGATTCTTGCCTCAGTGTTGCTGATGAGTAGCGATCCCTTGGTGAGATGTCTCAGGTTGACGCTGACTCCTAGAGCGTGTAGTGTCCTACCGAAGACCGTGTTTTTCTCGCCAGAGGTGTCATACACCCATCCAAGGATATCGAAGAGGGACCTTGCAGCCAGGTCCGAGCTCTTCTCCAGGGCGGGCTCCGAAAACAGGCAAAAGTCGTCAAAGAAAACCGTCCACATGAGACTGAGGGCCACGACTCCTAGGGTCCACAGTGCCCTGCTCATCCTGTTGAAGGCGTATACACTCTGAGTGGCCCCGAAGGGCAGGGCCAGCGATGTAAAGACCTTGGGGCAGCCAGACGGGTCCTTGATGACTAGTCCCGCCCTGTCTCTGGAGCTCGCCGACACTGCCATCTGCTTGAAGGCCCACTTAAGATCGAAGCTCTTAGCGGTCAAGTCGCGAGGCCTCTGCGCGGCGTCTCTGGCGTCGCACCACTCAACCACAGCGGAAGCCATGACATCTACGGAATGAAGAGATATCCTTTCCTCCGCGAAGGTGGTAGCGTTTATCAAACTAGCCGACATATCGTCGACGCACCGTACCTTGTCCCTCTGCTTAACCCCAAAGCGATTAGACACGACCGAGGGCGCATCGGCATCATCAGGCTCCATGGGTCCCTTGAGCCATCCCCTCGAAACTTCCGTTATGGTCTTCTCCCACACTTCCTTGGATAGGCCCTCCGCGGCTCCAAGAGCCCTTGAGAGCGCTGCATCCTTGAGGACCGGAGCAAGAGCTTCGAGCTCGCTCTCATGGATCGTGGCCGGGGTGTACCTCTTGGGCAGGTCGTTCGACATCGGAATTTCGCCCGTAAGGTCAACACCTTCTTCCAAGAGTTTGTGTGCTTCAGCATCGTTCAGCTCGTATGCGTTCACCATCTCCTTGAAGAGCAGGATCTTCTTGTCCTTTACTACCGACCTTACTCCCTCGTCCATCGAGTCCTTCAAGGCCTTTTCCTCTTCGTAGAGCTCCGAAGCAACCGACATCCATTTGCGGAAGAAGGACGCTCGCCTTTCAGCGACCGCCGATGGATCGTCAGCCGCAAGTTCCCAAATGGATCTTTTCAGTGGTTCAGGCACTGTCGAGATCGCGTCGGCTGGGTGTCCTCTTCCCGCCGCTTCCTTCAGGAACTCGCCGGGGCTCCAAGGCACTCCAAATGTGCAGATTGTGTCCGCTTCTGCTGGAATCGTGGAGTTCTCCCCTTCTGTTCTGGGAGAGATTTCCAGCAGACGGGAGCCTTCGGGAATGGTGACCTGCGGGGTGATCAAAGGGTGCTCGATGAAATCCTTGATGCGCCACGTACAGGAAGATCTCGGAATGAATGCCTTGAGAATCACCCGGTATTCTGGAACGAAGTTGGGTAGATTGGACTTCGTGGTACCCTCGGATGCCATTGCTCTTGAGACTTTCTCTGCCGCAAGCGGCAGTTGCGATGCCCGCAACATGTCTAGAGGTTCCATGACAAAATTGTCTGCCTCGCAGGCATCCTTGACAGCATGAGCCACTTGCTTGCACAGTTTGGCCGGGTACGCCGACTCCAAAGAAGTGGAGAAGGTCTGGTCCTCATGGGACCATCCCCATGATTTGTGAGCGTGGCTGTTGTCACATTCAGCATGGAGTCTGTCCAGAGGCACTTTGCCGAAAAAGGCCAGAGCGGTGTTCTTCTTGCGATCGCTTCCATACATGCACGAATGAAATTGCACATATCTCGGATTGCACCGAGATTGCGCCTCGGTCCAGAAAGAGGTTCGCCAGAACAAGGAGGAGAAGGGGTTCTCCACCGTCCAGGGGAGTTGCTTGTCCGTGCATCTAATGCACACTTGAGTCACAAGTTTGTACAGCTCGTTTGCTTTCTTCACACGTTCTGCTTCGTGATCAAGTAGATGCGGCAGTCCGTCTGGGAAATCATCCGAACGGAGAGGTCTTGGTCCGTAGCGAGAGGTGCTCATGGCGATCTCCCTGGCCCGCGAACACGTTCCACAAGGTGGCGCCATCCACACAAAAACTAGCTGATCTGAACTTAAAATCTGGAAAACAAGGTGTTGAGAGGCCTCAAGTGAAGGGTCCAACCTTATCACCGGCCCCTTTCTAGAGGGAGAAAGAAAACTATCGATGCCAAAACTTGCTGACAGGCCGACACTCTTCATGGCGGCCGTGATGCCCGCGGTGCCCGCGAAAAGCTCGAGGGCGAAGCATGACTGGAAAACTTTCCCTCCTAAATTCAAGGAGGGATAGAGGCCCTCTGTCTGTGATGGTCAGTTCGTCTGCCGCTGCGGGCACTGGTTGTACGAGTGAGAGCCCAGGCACTTGGAGCAAATGTGCAAGCCTCGGTCGCATTCGGACTCGTTGTTCTTCCCCGCGGGGCATCCCCCGGGTAAGTTGTGCCCAAAGCAGATGGGCCTCCCAGACGTGGGGCACTTGTAGTGAAGGCCAAGCAAAAGCTTGGGCATGCGAGGAGCCTCATAGTTATCCTGCTGGTGCTTGCCCTTGCCCTTCCCTTTGCTTTTGCCCTTGGAGTTCCGGTCCTTGCCTCCCTTGCGACTAAACCACGTGTCTTGATGCGGCATGTCATACGGAGACGGCCTGTTGCCCTTCCAACCTTTGCCATTCTTGCCCTTGCCGGCCCGGTCGCCCTTCTGGTCACCTCCCTTTGGGCTGAACTGCTGCAAGGGCAGGAGTGCGAACACGACCGAGTGTACCGTGGGCAACCTGGCGAACTCGGCGTCGATAGGTCTAGTGCCGTCTGACGGTCTGATATCCTTTACCACGTCAGCCATGTGAAGCCAGGCTGCCTTGTCTGCTCGCAGGATCTGGAACATCTGAACTTTTTGGAACCGGGCCGGTTGCTCTTTGGATAGTTCTCCGAACAGCCAATCCACCCATTTCTGGTGGACGGTGAATGTGACGAGATCCGCGAACTCATATGCCAAGCCGCGCCTGCGTAGTGCCTGGTAGACCAGGAACTCGGTATTGTTCTCGATGAACAGTCCTTTGTCGTTCTCCTTGACCTTGACCTGTGAGCCCTCAATTTCCAAGAGCTTGGCCGATGACTTATTGCTCATCATTTCCTGTTCTCTGGATGCACACCTGGAGGGCGGCATGTACTTGAGTATTTTGGACTCAGCTTGATGCGAGGCCGAATCCAGCATGGCGTGCCCTGGCTCCAGACCTTTGGAAATTTCGAGACCTGGGTACTTTGCACGAAGGCTGTCGAGCCTCGCGCTGCGTTCCGCTCTCGGGACCGGCTTTGCTGTGTCGGCCGTCGCTTCAACCCTGTTCTTGAGGCTGGCGCTGATAAACACGTGGGCCTCAAACAGAAGGTTCCTGGCTGCTGACAATGTTCTCAGCGATTGCCCTACCCCGGCGATGCCTTCGAAAAAGGTGTTGAATAGGGTCTCGTCGATCGGCTGCCCCGGCTGACCGTGGGCAAAACCATAGCGATTGAGTGTCGCCAAACCGTGCCTCTTGAACGCCTGTGCCGCCGCATCCGGTATGCCAAGCTCAGCAGCGCGCTGCAGGAACTGAGCTTCGCTGTCCAGGAGTGAGGTCATGATTTGAGGCTTTAGCCAATCTCTTGATTCTTAAAAGGGGGGCTGCGGCATCACCGCAGCTGAGATTCGACTCGATAACTCACTCTCAACTACTGGAGGTGCATTTTATTCACCGCTTGAGCTTCTTGTTTATCGCTTCAATAAGGTCCGCCCTTGTGCGAATTGGAAAAGCACTCGGATCACATTGCGAGCAGGTCTCGGCTCCCTGCCCTAGTGACCTGACAGGTATCATGCTGCCGTGCCACTTCCTGCCGCACTTAAAAGTCTGGCTTGACTCGTTTGCCAGTATGTGGACCTTCCCTTTAGGATTCAGGAAAAACAAGTTGCCGGCCCCCGGCGGAGGCATGACTGCTGATTCTTGGGAAGATTGTGATTCCGACTCTGAGGAAGAGCTGTCCGAGGAATCCGACGTGCTGCCTGCACCGGATTCTTTTGGAACCTCAGCACCGCTGTTGGCTTCCTCCTCCGACACCGGGGCTGGTGCTGCCGACGGCAATGATGCTGTTTCCTGGTCTCGATCAGGAGAGGCAGGACTCCTTTCTTCTTCGTTCGAGACTACCTTCCAGGCAGACGTCGTTTCTGATGGTTCCCCACGGGAGTTAATGCCCGTCTCGATGGGCCGGCTGTCCTGGCGGGACCTGAAGAGACCGCTTCTTGTCTCATCGGGCAGGAATGTACCCGCCCGTATGGCGTTTAGAGCCATCGCGAGCTTTCGCAGAGGCCGGGATTGCATCCCCCTGGCATACACGTCGCTCGACGTAATGCTCCCCACGTGCCGACCTAGGAATTCCAAGGTGGGTTTGTCGGCCCCGAAGCGGGCCATCCATGCCAGCACCGTCTCCTTACAACTGTGAGACGTGAGATCTTCTACGTTATCCAGCTGCCTTAGTAGGTAGCGCAGCAACGACGTGAATTCGTCACTCTCGAGGCTGCGCTCAGAGAAGGAGTCGTCAGAAAGAGGAGCGGGGAGGAATGGCCCGGGCGCAAATTCGCCGAGGACTTGCTTCCGTAAGGTTAGGAACTGCTCGGCCCAGTTCTCGTCTGTGACTCCAAAGGCTGGAGCTACGATGGGCAGGAGCCTTCTCTTTTCTCTGTTGGCTGTCTTGTGATGTTCCGTCCGGACTTCGATAAAGCCGTGCCTCCCTGTAATGTCCAGACATATCTCCTCAATGTGTCTGAGGTCGGAGCATCTGCAGCGTCCATACACGCACATGAGCATGAGTCCTGCAGCTAGCCGGTCAAAAACTCCTTCAGATGTGTTCCTGAGGATGGCGTGCAAGCGCAGTACCATGGCGACGGTAAGCGCCGGCGCCTGCTTCAATGGTCTCTTCTTGCTCGAGGCTTGCTTAGCCACTCCCTGAATCAGGAAGCTGGAAATGATGGCCGTTGCTCCCTCGGGTTCAATCGTGTAGATCATGAAGTTTACCGCCTGCAGAAATGAGGCCGGAGCGGTTGGAGCACCAAGTGCCTTGAGGTGGTGGACATAATCGAACGACACTGCTTCCTTCATCGGCCATGCTAACCTGTCGTTCTGCGTGCACCAATAAAGGTACCTTTTCACAACCATCCCTCTAGAGTTGATGGTGGATGGGGCTTTGACCCCCATCACTGCATCGACACACGTGAAAAGCTCGGTGGCGACTTGGCCGCCGTTGTCTTCGTCCGATAGCTGGACGTGCCTGGTGATGCCGAAGTGTTGTGGAGCGACCCCTATGACGTCGCACCACAGAGAGATTCCCTTCAGTCTTGAAGCTTGTTCACTCTTGGGGAAATTCACGTTTGGGCGGTTCTTGACTGCCGACAAAGCGGATGACGCCCCCGCTCTGGGTGGCATAAGTATCTTGCCAATGGCTTCGCCCGGGTCTCGGTCCGGCTCGGAAGGCGGGGCTGTGGTTTGTAACTGAGCTTGCGGCACCACGACCGGGGGCTCAGTGGTTCCAAAAATGTCCCGCATCAAGGGGGTCTCCCAAGGCATGACTATTCTTGGCCGTTTAGCAGCCCTCAACAAGCAGCCTTGCAGGGCCTGCTCGTACTCGCGCCCTTGAAGCACGCCGCTCGGCGAACTTTGCTGGTTTTGGGGCCGGGCACTGGCCGATGCAGAGAAAAGCTCTGACTCAGCTGGCGTGAGCGCTAATGTTGCTTCGGGCCGTTCCTGCTCTGGCCACTGATCCAACTCACCTGGATCTTCCAACTCTGCTAGCCGCTCCAAATCGAGCAGCCTGTCGATTTCACTCTCTTCCGCCATGCTGCTGGGTGAGACTGACACGACACACCTGTCAGTTTCCCTAAATGCCGTAGGCTCGCTTCTTTGTGAGGCTACTCCACCTCGTGATCTAGCAAGGGCTCCTCGGCCCGTCCTGGCAATACATTCTCTTTCAGCGTGGCTCAAAACTGTGACACGGCTTGCTCGAGCAGAACGCAGGGACAAACGAGGAAATTGCACGGACAAAGGCAACACGGCAAGAGGCTCAGCAGAAAACAACTGCGACATGCGACGGCGAGTTTTGCGGATCTCCCCGCTGCGTTTTCCTCTGCTCGGAGGACTTCTAGCGAAGCTTGCTTCTTCGCGAAACGTCACAGCTCTGACTCCCAGAGCGATTTACCGCGGCACACTCTGGGCCAGTTTCGCCCTTCTGTGGGCAGTTTCTCTGGGATGCTCCCTCACTGTCTTTCCTGACACTCGATGCTTGGAACCCTTACATGACTCAAGTACGGCTTGACGTTGCTGAGGCGCGGGCGGTCTTCCTTGGGAATGCATCAAGTTTCCTAGCATCCGATGATCCGAAGGAGTATGCTCGCTTCAGTGGGTGCAATCTCCAAGCCAAGCGGCAGCTTCGGCTTCTTTTCTCGGCGGTGGTTGCGCAGTTCGTCATCATCCCGGGAGCCCCGACAACAAAATCTCCCGAGGTCGTTCGAGTCCCTCGGACTGAACTAGATGAAAAGATTTGGAGGCAACTACCGCGGCCACATGAACGCCACGGCCTTTATGGTCGCGCCCTCCGACCTGATGCACAGACTTTGGTCCGATGAGGATCGCGCCGCCCAGTCTCTTCTGCAAGCTGCATGAAGCTTGCCCACGCCTCCTTCCAAGAGTTGGACCGCGTGTGCCCTTGCGGACACCAAAATTGCGATGCCACTTCCCGAGGCCTTTGCTTTCCTCGCAACCCCTTCCAGGGCCTTCATTGCCGTGTGCGAGGAGTACTGCTCGCAGCTGCCACGGGCGAAGAACCCGTATGGCGGGTACTGGTCGGTCTGAGCTGCTTGAGGGCGGATGATCTTTTGGCTCAAAATGCCGTGAGCCGAGGACCACTTCGTGCCGTGAGCGGCCGTCAGACTCTGCGAGTGGACGGGGTCCGGGATCTGGAGCTGCTCCGGCGCGGCGATGTCGGGTTTAAGCTCCAGTTCGAGGATCGAGGCGGAGAAATGCGATCCTGAATGCTGCGCCCATTTCAACTCTTGCGGCAGCGTCCCGTCGGGGAGGGAGGCCAGGAACCGGGACACATAGTTGATCATTGCCTCCGGGAGGCGGGAGTGCTCCTTGATCCGCGCGGCCATGCGCTCGATGTCATCAGCTTCCACATTCTCCATGACTTCTTTGTAGGGGGGGCCGCGCTGATCCGCCGGGAGTTCACTGTAGGACAAAGTCCGAGTGCGGTCGGACCACGCCTCCTCCATTGCACTCTTCATGAGTGCTTCCTGCATGGAAGCTTCCTCCCTATCTTCGGCTTCTTCTTCCTGTTCGGGGAGCTTCCACTGGTAACCCTTCTCATGCGCCGTCCAAGTGTTCCAGGGCTTGCCGGAGCCTCTGGGCTGCCAAGACTTGGCTTGCCATTGTTTGTTCGAGTGCCAGCCTGGCTGCTTCCACCCGGAGCTCTGTCCGCCCCATTTGCCACTTCCAAAGGAATGGTCCTTCGTAAAGGACGGTGTGTGGTAAGACTCCCCCTTGTGGCTCGAGGGAGCGGCTTCCGCACGCTCCTTGCGCTTGTGGCGGCGGCGTTCCGGCGAAGACGAGGACGAGGAGGATTCAGAGCTGTACGAGCTCTTCTTTGCCTTGGGTGCGCGCTTCTTCGACGCCTTCTTCTTGGTGCGTCGGTCTCTTTTGGACTCTTTGCTCTTCTTGTGCTTGCGGTTCTTCTTAGCTTTTCGCCTCATGGGCATGAGCCCGTAGATCGTCGGAATCATCTCCTCACTGTCAGAGGAGTCGGAGTCGTCTCTGCGACCTCTGCCCATGCGAGTGGGGAGGTAGGGCGATGCGCCGAAGCTGAATGGCGTCACCATTGTGAGACGGAGGGTGAAACGAAGGTGAAAACTGAAAGCTCTTGAGCCGGCTCGAGTAGCATAAACATCATAGGCTTCTGCGAGGGTGCGTCTTGCTCACGCAGGAAACTCTCCCAGCCCTGCACGTCACTGCATTGGCCTCGAACACGAGTTGCCCGTGTTAGCGATCCCTCGCGGGCCAGAGTTGCTCAAGGAATGTGTCTGAAAACGACAGGAAGTGACTTCTGGGGACCGTGCCTGTTGCCTTCTCGAGAGGGGCAGTCGAGAGCGAAATGACATTTACAGCGAAGGCCGGCGCGAACCAGCATCTTCGCAGCTGCTCTCCCCGGACTGCGTTTGGGAGGCGCTTCCGGCTGGTCTCCTTCTTCTGTCGGTTCCCAAGAGGCATGGAAGACCCACCTGCCCAAGTTGGCGGGAAGCCCTTCGTGGGCTGAACCCTCCTGCTCCTGAGGGTCTCGGGCGGTGTAGCTGGAGGAGGGCAACTGCTCTGCCCGATTGTCGGCATCTTCCGGGACTGATGCCGACTTCCTCTCTTTCTTCTTTCGCTTCTTGGTCTCTTCTTTGTCACATCGCCTGCGCTCCTGTGTCGTGGAGTGTCTCTTCTTCACCTTCTTCCGCTTCTTATGCTTCTTGCGCTTGCTCTTCGGAGAATCTGCTGGTTTACTGACCGGCGCGAACGCCGAACTCCAGGACGACATGTCTTCATCCCGCTCAAAAACCTCTTCACTGTTTGCCGACATGGTGTCTGAGCTGCATACGGCTGCATTTGCAGTCTACGGGTTGTTCCTGGAGCTGTCCCTGACAAACACATCTCCGCTGGGATGCCTGACAGAACTGCACAATACTCTGGAGCACTAGAAACGCACACTTTTGCTTATTCAAACTCGCGTCATCAGGGAGACCGCAGGTGTTCTCTCAGTGACCGACCCACTGCCTGTCGATTGCCTTGATGATGCAGACATACCCTGATGGTGAGTCAGGGCAGTGCGCGGCTCCAGCAGCATCTGATGAACCAGGGCAAGTAACCCTGGGCGTTGAGTGGGGTGCCAGGTTCGACTGCTTCTGCGCGATGTTCAAGAATGAGTATCCTCCTTTCGCACGCTCTAACATGCGCCTGGATGGTGGAAATTCGGCGCTCGAGCTCAGTAACATGTCTGCTGACGAGACTGAGCGTACTTGGGCTATCGCCGCTGTAATCCGAGCTGTCGATTTCCATGCGACACCGGGGACCTCGGATTCGCCTTGTGCGGCTTGATGTCAGATGGGCCACTGCGGTCACTTGGAACTCTCTGCGACGGAAGCAAGACCGCAGAGCACATACTGCAGACTCCTGCTTTTAGGCATTTCGCACGAAGATCACAGGTGATAGCGTATTCGCTACAAGCACTGGCGCTGAAAAACTAAGGTGCCTGCCGTCCTGAACCAGGTGAAAAGAACTCAACTTCGGAAAACGACCAAACAGCTCGAAGAGTCTTTGAGCAACAAGCCACTTCGCTTGATCCACAATGTCCTTGCAACTAAGCTGGATGTCGAGCGTGACGGCCGTGTTATGAGAAATACGATCATTCGCTTGTACCTGCATTCGGAAAATGTATCCGTGAGGTGTGTCCCAGGGCAGGTCTGCCTCACCTGCCTTTCTTTTCATCTGAGCACTGACATGATGCTCATACGTGTCTCCGCTTGTTGCACATGGCTTGAGGCGAGCACGGATTCCCGGGAAAGAGCTATGCCTTTTCTAACCTGTAATACTGCGCCTGCAGTGTCGGTGCGAACACTGCGTGCATTCTCTCTCTGAGGCATGAGCAGTAGGGTGGAGCTGATCGTTGGCCCCAACACCCGGTCAAGAGCGACTATGCAACGAAGCTTGCAAGGAAAAACCCTGTCTGAGACTGTCACTTGCTTGTGGATATCCGAAGCAGAATCTCTTTGATCTGATGCCATTGCAATCACGCGCTTACACTCTTCAACGACACAAATATTGTTGTCTCGCACGCTGAGGAGACAACCGCAAACCTTCCTTCTTTGAGGACCCTTCCTGGTCCACTTGTGGGACTCTCCCCTCTCGAAAATTTCCTTTCGAAATTTTCTGCCCGGCTCCGACTTGAGCAACGTTCACATGCAGGCACATCACACATGCTCAATGCAGCAAAACGTTTCTGCCTAAACAAACACGTTCCTTGTTTGTTTTCCATGATCGTGATAAAACACTAACTCGTCCCTCGCACGTAAGCTTCTTTTATCTTTTCCTTTGTTTTGCATCTGTATATACACAGCCCATGCATGCCTTTCCATTTGTATACCTGCTGCAGGACCCCTGGACGGAACTCCATCACAGGAGGCGAGCTGAGCAGCAGCAGTGCCGGGGTCGGCTTTGCTCTGGGCAACCCAGCCCAGCCGGTTTCGGCTGCGACACAGCAGACCTCGCCAGGGCGACAGTCGGCCTTGCAGCTAGCCCTGCCTCCAGCCGAAGAACCCGAAGCAACGGAGTCGCTCCCTGCCGAGAACGATCTCGAGGACGAAGCTTTGTTCAAGAAGCTCAAAGATCGCAAAGCTGGGATTCTGAAGAAGCCGGCCGCTGCAGCTGCAGCGAGTGGCCAAGGAAACTTGGCAAAGAACAAGACAAAAACGAATGGCCAAGGCCAAGATCCAAAGAAGAAGGGCAGCGGCAAAGGCAAAGGAAAGTCCAAGGACAAGAGTGCTTCGAAGAAAGGCCAAGGCAAAGCAAAGGAGCAGCAAGCCCAAGGCTCGCATGGAAAGCGGAAGTTCCAAATTGTCTGGGAGGACGGCTGCATCCAGAAGAACTATGCTTCTCGCATGTACAAGCGAGCCGGAACGTGGGCAAAGCAGCAAGGCTTCTCGGAGCAGCAAGTGGTAGAGTGCCAGCGAGAGGCCCACAGAGAGGCCATTCTGCTGTGGAAGAAGAAGAACGGCTGCTAAGCCAGCTGTGCAGGGCTCGAAAGCGATGCCAACCAACTTTTTGCTTCTATGTGTGTATGCACACATGAGCACTGCACCGAAAATCGGTTAGCATGCTGCACAGATAGATCATTATATACCATGCAGCAAAGTAGCTGCTGACACACGAGTGCATCGCAAGGAAACAGAGGCATGCGAAGGGTTTTCACTGGGTCATCGGGCATGTATGGGGGGTCGTCATGTGCCTTATATCATGTCTGAAATCTGCTGCCGCCATGTGGCTCAAATGCTATAATATTTTTTTATAGAGCTTGCCGTTCGCCTGTCTTCGGGCGATTGCTGTGATATCCGGCCAAGGCCAAAGGTGCTGCGAACTCTAAAAACAGACTGCGAGTGCATCGCGGCCAAGGCCATCCTTATAAGCTCCTGCACACGTGCAGTTTGAAATGGGAGGAGCCTGCAGCCGCCGTTTGAGGATGGACCCGTGTGCAGGACCATGCACGGAATGCGGTGCCCCCAGCTGCTGCAGAGTGAAAAATGCACACCTGAACCACTGGTGTGCAAAATGCACAATCAAGTGGTACAACGAGAGGGATGTCCGTCGCAGCAACTACAGAAGGGCATGGAGGGAGTACGAATATATGAATATCGTGGAGTCCGGGGACGAGCATGCTCTCCCTACCGTGACCGAGCAGTCCTCTCCAGAGTATGAAGACAACTGGAATTCCCAGCAGGAAGTGGCTGAGGAAGAGGAGCATGAGGAAGAGGAGTCTGAAAACTCAGCAAGCTGAAAGCAAGCTTTCTTCCAGGCTACGGCCCCTTTTGCTGCAGGCATGCAGAATGGGATGCAGAAGGCTACGGCATCCCATGTATATTATATATCTGCTGAAATGCAGCCGTTCTCAGGCTACGGCCTTAAACGAGTTTCTCTAGCCGGAAGACCGTGAACGACCGGCATGCAAAAAAAGACTTCTGTTTTGCAGGGTTCGGGTTTAGGGTTTGAGGCTTTTATGTTCAGGGCTTGGAAGGTTTAGACGTATAAGGGACCCCTTTATGTTACTTAGACTAACCCCCTTTTCTAAACCAACTTAACCCTTTACATTTGTTTGTAATTCATAGCTAACCTCGTAAAGTATGTTAACCATTTACAAGCCACCGGTTCTTCCCAGTACTGCCGCGCCTGCCGCACCGCGTCGCTCCGCTGCGGCCGCCTCGCTCAGCTGCTGCTTTCCTATACCCCCCCACCGCTTTGCTACTGCCGCGCCGCTCCTCTACACTGCCGCGTTGCTCCGCTCCGCGTCACTCTGCTACATGCTGCCAGCTCTGCACCGCGCCGCCTCGCTGCTGCCGCGCTGCTTCGGTGCTGCCGCGCCGCTTCGCTATACTGCCACTCCACAGCGCGTCCTCCTCTCGGATTCCAAAACATGCTTGCAAATGAAGGCCCGTGACCAAAACACCGTAGCTTGAAGGGCGGTTCACTTCCGTAACCCTGCGAATCAGCAACGCTGCAATGAAACAACTGTGCCCAGTTTACGGTACGAGTGAAGCGATGCGTGCCTGCATTGCTCAGCTGAGGACCTGGCACGACAAGAGACCAAAGCCAACTAGGGCGACGGAAGTGCACCAAGTGTAAGAAACTGATGCGAAGCCAAGGGCTGCGCCTAATGTGATGCGGCTCCAGCTGACGGTTGCAAGAAGCCGTAGCAATCCGACCTCAAAGCTGGGCAACTGCAAAAAACCAAAGTTGAAAGGTATCGAAACCAAGTGCAAGGCTTAGATTTCCCGCAATTGACTTCTGCTTCTTCATCTACTTGGCTTCACAAGCCCCACTCTGATGGCCAGTGGACGACTATGAGCAGCACAGGATGCGAAGGCAACCGTATTGCCCCCACCTCCCGAACCGCGAAGCAGATCTACGTCGCAGCTGCCAAAAAAACTCCAGAGGCGCATTCGTATGCTTCACACCAATGAGCCTGATGCGAGCACGTCAACATCTGTCAAAAAACGACAAGGATCAACTGTTCCAGATCAGAGCCATGCAGCCAGACGGATTCTCCGATTTCATTCACGAATCAGCCAGAAGCATCGCTAACAAGCAAGACACAAAGTTGAAGAACGGCAGGGCTGGAACTTGCACAAAACTACTGTCATGCTTGAAGTGTTCCACATCATGCTGCCAGGTGAATACTGGCATGCTAACGCTCTTTCTCCCGGATTTCTTCAAATGGAATGATCGCGTCTGTGCACCGAAGCACAACTAAGAGCCCCTCTGTGAAACTGCGTTTGACCAGCGCTGACATCTGTCGCTGGTCCTGTACCCGTTGCATGCCCCGCTTGACTTGAAAACTTGACTGCCGTAGCCTGCTCACGGAATGTGAGCGTTCAACGGCTAACTGCTAATCCTGGAAGTCAAGCAAAGCCGCAGCGCAAAAAAAACGTCAGTGACTGCCGTTGCTACCTCGGCCGAGAAGCTCGCACAATACGGAAGGATGCAAGTTTGCAGCGCTCAAACTCCGGCGCTGCTGAGGCACACGCACGCAACTCAAGCATCATTCGCTGATGGCAGCACGAATCCGTAGCAATCTTCCCTGCGAGCGGGGCGACAGCAAACCCCCTGAGCCGAAAAGAAATGTCATCGAAACCAAGTGCTGGGCCCTTCTGTGTCGCGGAGACTTGCTCTCATCGTTTCTTCCTTCACCCAGTGCCCAGGGCACTCGCAGGGGCAGCCTAGTGGGGCTAGGGTTCTAGGGGTTCGGGATCCGAGGGTTCGGGACTTAGGGACAACCGTGACAAGACACACGGAAGGGCACTCGCAGGGGCAGCC